GGGGGAGGAGGGGGAGGTGGAGGAGGGGGAGGAGAACATACAGCATAGCAAAATGAGCCGACCTTGAGAGCAAAGATGATGTGGAGGATAATAATGATTAGGATGGTGAAGAACATATGAGCGATCGCAATGGTATGAAGGAGATGAGGAGTAGAGGGAGGAGGAGGAGGAGGAGAAGGAGGAGGAGGAGGAGGAGAACATATACCATAGCAAAAGGAACTGACCTTGAGAGCGAAGACGATCTGGACGAGCAGCAGAGATGAGATAATGCAAGTGGGCTCAGTGGGGAGAAGGACATGATGATGATGATGATGATGAAGCTGAGTAGCAGAAAGCACGAGTGGCAGAGATAATGCGAGTGGTAACGCTTTGCTACCGCAGAGGGGACAACTTCTAACGAAGTGGCAGTGCTGTTAAGTTCGCACACAGAGGAAGATGACGAGGAGGATAAAAAATGGAAGATGCAGAGATGATGGCAATATTGGGGGAGGAGAAGAGGAGGGAGAGGGGTAGCAGGAGGAGGAGGATGACAAGGATGATTATGTTGAGAAATATGAGTCAGGAGAAAGATGATGATGAGCAGCAGTAAGAAGACTGAAGGGGAGGAGGAAAAAAGAAGATGCAGAGATGGCCGCGATATTGGGTATGGAAAGGGAGAGGAAGGAGAGGAGAAGCAGGAGGAAAGGGATAACAAGGATGATGATGTGGGGAAATACGAGTGAGTAGAAAGATGATGATGAGCAGCGGTATGAAGACATAGAGGAATAGATCAAGTGATGAACAATGAGGAGGAGGATGACGGAGAGGAGCCGGAGGAGGTAAGGGAGGGGGTGGGGGAGGAGGGGGAGGTGGAGGACGACGGAGAGGAGCAGGAAGAGGTGGGGGAGGAGGAGGAGGAGGAGGATGAAGAGGAGGAGGAGGGGGTGGAGCACCAGCAGTAGGAGGAGGAGGAAGAGGAGGGAGAGGAGGGAGAGGAGAAGAAGGAAGAGGTGTGGAAGGAGGAAGAGGAGGAGCAGGAGCACAAGTTGCTGCAGGAGAAGGGGATGAGGAGGACAATGATTAAACAGGAGTACAAGTTGGGAGAAGGATGAAGAGCAGTAGCTGTAGGAAGACATTGTATGCGTAGACAATAATGAGGAGAGGCGGCAGAGTGAAATGTCTCTCTCTCTCTCTCTCTCTCTCTCTCTCTCTCTCTCTCTCTCTCTCTCTCTCTCT